TTACTTTTTTGGGCTAAGTATAAATTTTCTTCTCCACTGTCGCCTATGAAACTAAAGTTTTTTCAATGCATTTGAATAAAACCTTAGGTTATTATACCACGTTAGATAGCTGATGAAACGTAGATATTTAAAAAAACATCTGCCGAACAATTGCCATAATATTATTTTTAGATATCCCTTAGAGAAAAATAAACTTTCTAATATTTTTTTTTATTTTTTTACTTTCACTTGTCTACGACGGTCTATTCAATTAACTTATGCACTATTTTAATGATTGACGTCCTAAAACATCTTATTACACATGTAAAAATGCAATAATAATAATAATAATAAGATACAAAAAATAAACAATAATAAATGTAGTAGCCTAAAAATCGGCAATTTTCAATAAAAAAATTAAAAGTCGAATATCTCGAAAAGGGTTAAGTTTAGGGTAGGGTGTTTCATAGTGAAATAAGTCAGAAATGATGGGTACTCCACGCCCTTAACAGATCTAGCACGATTTTTCTTGTAACCTTGTATAACGGCGTTGTACAATGCATCATTTTTATTTTTCGTAATGTAAAATATTCTTATATTATCCTTTTTAACCGAGTTTTGGTGTGCGATGACTGATATGAGTTCACCCTTTTCAATACTCTTATATATATATTCCTTTCAAAATGATTAATGGTCTCTTTAACCTAACCTCTTCCGCCTCGATTCCTGCTGTCTTTGCAACTCTTTGAATTGTTTCTTCACATTGTTGTTTTGATTCAAATTCAGCTTTTAATGTTTGTTATTTAATATATATAGGTACTTTGTACGGAGCATATTTTTGCGTTTTGAAAGAGATATTCTTTTTCCATGTATTCATTACATCATCTGTTTCAGGATCCGTTGCTTTTATTTTTATCGCAGGTTTTCTCGGGGTCGGTGTAGCCAGATGTTGTGGGGTTTGTTTGCTATTTCTGCATAAGTTCGTAAATTCATAAACACCCAGTTTATGGATTTCACTGGTGCATTTTTAAATTGTTTAATTTCTTTCTTTGGTGACTGGAACTCATTTTTTAAATCTATTATTGATAGTGTGAATTGCGATGCTGAATTGAATATCGGAAGTTGTTGCAGTGCTGTTTTGATTTCCTCTGCGCTTGCTTTTATTAGTATTTTATTGCTTGATGTTACATTTTTACCTTCGGATATTGCTTGCACGATTACATCACTTAGTTTAACAATAACTTCATTAAATGTAATAATATCCTTTATATCACTTGCAAATACTGGGGGGACTATTCCGTCAGTCGACATTATGGACTGCCTCAGCAGTTGTCACTTTTAGCACATTTGTCACTTAGTGTCACAAACATTGCACTATTCACTTCCCACTCCTATGTTACCGGAGACGTTGTCCACACGTAGTCAACTTGTAACCGAATGGTGACTAACGTTGTCCACCCGTAGTCAACTTGTAACCGAAACGTGACGTTGTCCACACGTAGTCAACATGTAACCGAATGGTGACTAGCGTTGTCCACCAGTGGTCAACTTGTAACCAAATGGTGACTAACGTTGTCCACCCGTAGTCAACTTGTAACCGAAACGTGACGTTGTCCACACGTAGTCAACATGTAATCGAATGGTGACTAGCGTTGTCCACCAGTGGTCAACTTGTAACCAAATGGTGACACAATTCAGCTTCCAGACCACAAGTTGTCAAGTTGTTGACCACTTGTCACTAGCAATTAAAATTGCTGCCGGTCGCTACGGTGGTCGAAAGCAGACTTCTTTCTTGCTTTAATAAAATTCAATTATCTGTCAATGTTTTTGTCCTTTACAGAACCAAATATCGTCGATCCTATTTCCCGTTGTTTATTGGGCGAAAATACTGGTGGTATTTCCCTTTTGTTTTTACGCATTGTTCCAGCGTTACTCAAGCCATTTTGAATAAGTTTGTCAACCAGATCTACGGAGGAGAACCAGTTATCGGCAGTTATAATTCGATTTGTTCTGAATAAATGTTTGGCAAGTTGCAGCACATTCTGTGTTGAAATTGAACCTTGGTTTCTTCTGTTAGAGTCTACTTAGCCCGTATAAATAATGTATCTTATCATCACAAAGGCACATAATCTTGATGCCACATTTTTCTGGTTTGTATTTCATATAAATCCTAAAAACACATTTTCCTCTAAAAGAACAAAGCATTTCATCAATCGAGATATTCTGAGCAGCTATAGTGTTTTTCGCAGTTTTCAATGAACTTATCAAATTATTGAGATGAGAGCAGCTTGGTTATTAGTAATTGTTTCTTCCCTTGAATTTACATCTTCAAATCTCAAAGCAGGTAACAGAAACGTGAATCTCTTTATGCTCATCGTTATTAAGAAAATATCTCTACCAGTTCCATCAGTTGCCTATAAACTTTCGATATATTCATGGTCGGATTCGAAAACTACTGATAATAATAGCAACAAACCAAGGAATGCTTTCATTTCCAAAATACTTATGTGATTGGTGTAATTCGCTTTAGTTTTGTACTTTTTTTGAATATTGTGTTATTTTTTGGTTGAATGTGTGGCGGCGCTGTCGTCGCGCCACAAGCGAAACACATCGAAGCCTAAATCGCACTAACAAAGTTCAGAAGTTAAAGCAGCATATATAGAATAGCTCAGAACTACCAATCGGAGCATTGGCCGCTCCCCGGGCAGAACACCTTTCCCGGCGGGAAATCTCTCCTTTCCCTTCCACCCGCCACAGTGGTGACCATCCGACGTGATATGAACACGCAACCAACAACCTTCGGAAACTACAACTTCAAACCTTCGTCATTATCCTCAAGTACTCCACTCCCGAGCAGATATTGTCTGCAGTCTTCACATTCTGCAAGCCATCTAGTTTTATAAAGGTTCATCGCAGCACTGGAATAATAATGCTTTCTGTTTCTTCAAGTTACTCTTTGCGCTACAGTGTTCGGCACGGCTCTGAGCCTTACTGCTCGCCTCTGCTTCACGGCACTCTCGCAGACAACTTGCCTTCTTCTCGACTCACCGCAGACTACAAGGCAATCCCTGGCACATTGTTCCGGCTCATCGTTTTCACCGGCATCACTTGCATGTGCGTAGTATAGCATGCCTTACGCACACAGCACGCATTCCCCACCGGCATTAAGGACGCACCGGCAATCGGACTGCACTATCGACCTCCGGTCTGAGCAGGGGGTAATGTGGCGGCGCTGTCGTCGCGCCACAAGCGAAACACATCGAAGCTTGAATCGCACTAACAAAGTTCCGAAGTTAAAGCAGCATATATAGAATAGCTCCGAACTACCAATCGGAGCATTGGCCGCCCCCCGGCAAAACACCTTGCCCGGCGAGAGATCTCCCCTTTTCGTTCCACCGGCCACAAATGCATATAGTTGAAATGATTCACCTGGTACCCCCAACTGCCATGATTCGATTGGCGACATGTTTTGTTTTTATGGACCAATAATACCAGGAAAGTGAGTTGATAATGTTGTGGCATCTGACTGGAGCTACTGGGTGGACCACTTAAATCGATTTTTACCTTAGTATTTAGTACTTTGCAGATCTTCTACTAAATCGGTATCAGATGAGTCACTTGAGCCACAAGAAAAAGAAACTTCGTTCGTACCACCAATTCCAGTAATAAAAACTTTTAGGAAAATTTGCGAAGTAAATTTTCCTAAAAGTTTTTATATAATGGATTTCCGCCAAGTAACGCCTGATTCTATTAATTCCAGTAATTTCAAGCGCCGAACGTCTTGCACCAGACAACTGGCGACGTAATGATATTAGGTTTCGAAATTAAACGGGTTTTTTTGTTGTAATCGGATCCGAACTGACCCACCGATTGAAGTTCAGGGTTAAAATAATAACTTTGATTAATTACTTTGTCATGTGAAATTAGAACACAAGAATCAACTAACCGTTTGTAGTTCTTAAGTTATTCCGTAATTGTAACACTTTGTATAAATGCAATAAAGAGTTATCTATCTATCTACATAAATTTTATATAAAAAATATTAGAATATGATTAGAGTATGTTTCGAAGGAACAAGTCGTGGAGTTGTAGCTACTGATCCCATATCTATCCTCTTTAACACGTTGAGCGCCATGTGTATCTTGTTGGAAACACAAAATGCTACCTTCTGAGGCCGCATATTTCCTTTTGGATACACGGTCTACCCTTTAATTCGAGGCCAGTGTTCCACCAGGAAACAAGTTTTCATACATTTTACTACGGAAACTTATACTTCTGGCCTCCACGGTTTTTTCGGTCCGAGTGGGTTTTTTATGTCTTTTAGGTAAAAAATCATGTCATTTTTAGAAATGACATTTATTTGTATTATTCTCATTTCTTTTACAAGCATGCAGAATCAATAGTAGATAGATAGATAGAATATAACGGGCTGGTATAATTAGTAGTTTTTTACTTAATTTTATCCTCCTGTGCCTACCCTACCAAAATAGGTAAACATTTTGACAGCTCGTTAGTAGCTTTGCCTTTGTATGGTTTCTTTACTCATGTGCAGACAGTAATTACCACATACAAGTACGATTTTAGTAATGTTGCGTATAATACTATAATCAAATCTACAGACAAACGTAAACAGCAACACTAGAAATATTTTAAAATAAGAATAACTTTAGATTAACGAAAACATACCTTTTTAATCCAATAATGCAATATCCGTGAATTAAAACACTCGCGACCCATCGAATCTCAAGTTCGTAATTATAACTAACAATTGATTCAACCGACACCTAATGGTCATTCATAGAGGTCAGAGATATATCTGTCATATTCATTTATAAAATTACCAAGAGATGGCATTATTTAGGATTAGAATCCCAAGCAGATGGCAGCACCCATCCATCTCTATTGAAATTAGGATGTTTTTAATTTCAATAGCCTCGCGTATTATCCTCGGTAGGAATCTGTGTTCTTTTGCGAGGATTTGTGGTCTATAAAATCTGATGATCAGCATAGGGCTATCCCTATGCTGAAACAGTTGATATAAGAAAAATTTAACCTAAACATCAGTTAAAAGCATACTCAAAAAATGATGACTTCTGATGTAATATGATGTTAGAAAAACACTGAACTTACATACCTATGTTGTATTATGGTACTATACAAGATAGTAAAGTTACGTCGCACTTTGTACATTTTAAAATGTTTATTAGAGAGTTCAAACAAATATGCAGGATATGACCTACCTTATCATCGCTTAAATTTTTCTAGCTTTTTTCTTTAAATTGTCGTACAAATCATGTAATTGCTTTTCAGTCCTAATTCCCGTTTCGGTGAGAGCATTATATATGTTTGTAAGCGCCACCTAAGCTTGCTTCTTAGCCTGTACAGTTGTCCCGTTCGTGTTTTATTATCAATTGTAGCCACAAATTCTTTGGTTACTTCAATAAGTTGCATCTTCAATCAAGTTTTCCAGATTCCATAATGTTTTGGATAATGCAAAAACGATAGTAAATACCACTAAACTTAAAATCGGAAAGTTATGAAAATTAAAAATAAAACAACATTCGAAATAAAAGCAATGAGTTTGATGTTTTCTTTTTTAACAATTTGACAATACAATGATGTCATTCATAGAGTCTGTGATGAATATGGAATTATCATAAATTATTACTAAAACAGTGCATATCTTCTTCTTTAGCCTCAAAAAATATATTTTATAAAAAATATAGTATAAATGAAGAATTGAAATTATGGAATTTGTTAATGGTTTCATAGTTGTTGAACGATTCGTTGCCTATTCCGAAAGGCAGTGAGAGTTAACCGACGTTTATCCTATACATAACTTTATTGAATCAATAGCTAATGGGAATATAACTGGGAACTTCAGAAACCGGGCATAAGCCATCCGAAATTCCAAACGTATGCACGTTAATTTCTTTCCTCGAACGGAAAATTTCCGCTGACGAAATAATTATTTCCACTATTTTAAACGTACATTCCGCTAAGAATCCATCGGCGAATGTGGGTAGTTCAGGAAAATTCTCGGGTCGTAGCAACAACGCAAGCGAGGGTACGGTGCCTACGGATTGACGCTCCTTGATTACTAACCTTAATGTACGCATAGAGCAGTCTCGATCTAAAAATAATGGTAATAAGGTTAGAACTTGTTTATATTGCAACGGTCAACATATATTAACTAAATGTTCAAAGTTTCAGTCACACGACGTTCAGAATTGTAAATCAAATTTCGATTGCCGTTCGTGTTATAAACGACATCATACATCAATTCATTTTTCAACGCAATTGTTATTGGTTATTAGCGAAACGGCGGCGGCTGATAGTGCTATACAAATCCCTCTTACGGAAGAACGAAGAAGTATTGTCGGCTGAGTCACCTCTTACCTGCCAACAGCAGCGCGGTGCATAATAATTACGCGCCCAATGCGCCTTTAGTTCGCATGAATACAGTCCTATTATCTACGGCGCTCGTTGATATTTGCGTAGGTGAGTCAATGGTATCAACCGTTCGATGTATTGTATATACGAGTCTCCGCACGGTCACATTCGGTGTAAATTCCTCACCATATCTCGCTTTGCGTACAATTCAGTAGCTCACTTACTAAGAGAGGAGGAGTCTAAAACTCTCGCTCTGCAACAAGAGCTTATCGGCATTTGTAAGACGGCTGGATTCCCACTACACAAATGGCACAGCAACTCACCGGCGATACTCGCTATAGAAAAGCAACCAGCTCGTCATGGCGAGCGGCCCGAAAACGTCCCATTTTCTGAAATGGAGAACGACAAAAGAGTTAAGGTCCTCGGACTCCAATAGAAACCAGGATCTGATACATTTAATTTTAAAGTTCAAGTTACCACTCATAAATGCACAAAGAGCGTTATTCGTTCTGAGATCGCGAAAATATATGACCCTTTCGGATTGATATCAATGGTAACCTTGTATGCCAAGCATTTAATCCAACTACTGTGGATGGCAAATGTAGATTGGGATGATAATCCGCCCATTGATATCATTAATTCGTGGACACATTTTATAAACGAGCTAACCCTGCCTATCACAGGTATCGTTTCCGCGATACATTTTCAGTAATAATATCGATTCGGTAGAAATTCATGGATTTCCTAACACGTCCTAGATAGCATATGCTGGCTGTGTCTATATTCCACTTAGAGGCAAGGACGGCAATATTTATACTAACCTGATTATGGTGAAAACTAGGGTAGCTGCACCCCGCGTACCCCTTACCATCCCATGTCTCGAGTTTTCAAAGCTTTTAGATAAGGTAGCAAATTTATATAGAGATCTCGTCTGCCGCGAACAGATTTGTGCATAGTCCAACGCCTCCATCGTACTGGCCTGGCTCCGATCATCACCGCATGAATTGAAGACGTTTGTTTCTAGTCGCTCTAGCGATATTCTATGCCGCGTTTCCGCCGGCTGCTGGCACCATGCCCCGTCAGCTGATAATCCTGCTGACGCTGCATCACGTGGCTTGCTACGTACCGCGATAGTACAACGACTTGTGACACCATGGTCCCGCATGGCTCTGACGAAGTACCAAATACTGGCCTGTTGAGAATCAAACTATGAGCACCTTCTGGTATCTCTACGACACCGCTGGGACAAAATGCCTAAATTATAATGCGAATTTCATCGCTAGGCAAAATCGTTCGTATTACCGCACTAATATTCCGCTTTTATAATTTTTTTTTACGTAAAACGTCTCTCCTTCATACTCAAAATTTCCCACTCCAGCAATCAAGTTTGCGAGAGGGGAGAACGTAACGGCCATAGCCTTAAGGACGTCACGCTGTTCAATATCCAGCCGGGGGCGGTAAAACAATCCAGCATCAATGCCGAGGGTGTTAACCTGGGCCGCTTTTCCGCACAGAAGCCGATACTCGAACTGGGCTAACGATACACGGTAGAACGCATATGGCGAACACTCCGGTATACGGTCTGGTCTACGCCCGTATAGTTCGTACACTTTCTTGAAAAGCCATTGTACGTAGAAACCCACTGCCCTTGTGGTGACGGGGACGATTGCGGCTGTCTTCTGAATTGAAAAATCTACTTGCTTCTCTGCAGTCATCGAATCTCCAAATCCAAAATAAAGTGCTTTATTTATCTTATCCTCTATTTCGGCTAATGCTTGCTTTGACTTCGGGTTATTCTCCCTGAAGGCATCTTGACGTGCGGCATCGCGCTTACGTTGGCTAGGCGGGCGGTTGCGTCGTGGCTTCGGCGGTTGCTGGGGTGCCCGGATATCGTCTTCATCGACGGGCTCGCGCCAGTTCCGGTTGGGTTGGCGTTGGTTGGGGGGAGGTGGACGGCGGCTTCCGCGGTCGTTACTCCGTTGGTAATTACTCATGATGTTGGTTTTTTTTCCTGGAATCCAGAAAATAGATAGATAGATAGATAGATAAATAATAAATGCAAAGTGATCAAAAATTCGTTCCCGGGTTATGTTACAGTGCCTGAATATATTTTTTCATTAAATCGACTAATTTATCGTACTCAACAATCGGTCTTTCAAGACGATATTTTAAAAAATATCTCAAGAAAAATTACCTTATAATTGTCTTATGCCTTTATTGGATAGTCACAAACTGTTACGTGTAGGAGGTCGAATTCATAAATCATTATTACCATTTGAATCTAAACATTAAATAATTTTACCGAAAAAACATGCTTTGACTAATTTGATTATCGATGACGCTCACATAAGCTATCTGCACGCTAACTGTTGCAGCGCTGTTGGATATTGTCTTGCTGTGACATCGTACGTCAACGCATACATCGCTGCTTTCGTGCTCGCCCAACGCGTGATCAACCGCGAATGGGACCACTACCAGCTTCGAGAATACGTCCGGCGCGTCCTTTCCTTAAAAGGGCCGTAGATTATACCGGCCCATTTTTTGTTCGTGCAAATAAGGGCGCCTATGCATTGAGCGACCAGGCCGCGGCGGCCACGTTTGCGGCTTGGTCGCCCAGTGCGTATCCAGCCGCGATATGTCGAGCGGCCAAAACTTGCAGTCGACTTCCAAGGGTGTGGCAAGATGGACGTGCAAAAGATATTAACTGTGCTTGTGTATTTACTACGAAAACGCAAACGGAAGATTTCACGTGAAAAACAGTTTTGGGTGCATCCGTTACTACGCGAAAGAAATACTAAAGGGTTATATTATACTTGTTTCTTGGATTTAAAAAAAATATGAAAAGATTTATTTTAATTACATGACAATGTCAATGAGTACTTTTAATCTGTTACTGGATATATAATTATACCAAAAATTACTGGCACTGGTAACAACTTTCGAAAATGCATTACAGGAGAAGAAAAATTTGTTATAACAATAAGGTAAGTTATGGTATTTGTTTAATACAGGGCTTAAAAAAATAACTTGTAATATTTAATCGAGTCTTGTGTACAGTAAATAAAAAAAATAGGTTCTTTTTATCAAATTACTTATTTATTATTAAAAAATTAAAATGGAACATGACTACTATGAACATTAATTCAAATCTGGAGATAGGTCTATCGCTGTAATTTGAATCCTCTGATATCCTTAAAATACTCGTTGGTACGAGTACAATAACCCGAAGAATCTGGTTGATAACAAGAATAACTCGGGTGACGTGGATCATATTCTTGGTAATGAAGGGTAATAACGTGAATGGGTGACGTCGATATGCTCTGTTTGCGAACAGCTCGGTTGGTATTTTTCTATAGTTTCCATAATTTCCATTTTCGCTTTGGGCTTCAATGCAGCCAGGATATTTTGAAATCTTCCAAGAAGTGATAACAGAAACAGTTTATCACAATTAGATTAACTCTGTGTATCTTTCTTCTCTATTGATGCTGTGGTCTTATGCAAAACTGAAATGATAGGGTCTGAATCGGATACAGCGTTTGGTACTCGTATTTTTCTTCCTTTTTGTTCTAAGCGAATGTGATGGGTTAGTGAACGTGTTAGTTTGCTGACTCTCGAAATCGTTTGTGTCCAGCACTGGTCTCAAAAACAGTAGTTGGTTAAATATGTGTATTGTGTTTTACGTTTCGCAGCAGAACCATTTTTGAAATTTGCGTTTTCCTTCAACAATTTTTCCTTGCCTTCCATACATCTTATAGCATTCGACACAACGTCCTTTCATCTTTTTCGGAGGGTTTCCCTTGACACTGAACACATGTCTGTGTCACTTACTTGATGGTGGTCGTGGTGTTGGTGGGCTTAGTCTTCTTGACGTGAGTATTTATGAAGCATTCCTCTGATAACTGCCTCCCTAAATTTTGTGATTTTCAGAGCCTTTTTGCAAGTATTCTCAGAGTATAAAAAGTGAGCATTCACGATGCTGGTACCCCACAATACTTCAAAAAATAATTTTCTGTACCAGTTTGTACAACGCCTCAACGCCGAGCTGTACGACGCCATCAGATCACTCAAGTCGATGCTAGATTTTCCTGTGTTGTAATCTACGATGCACGCCGGCTTTAGGATAATTTAATTCGTGCGAGTTTTTTTGGCAACGGTTTTCACTGCTGAATGTTTTGTTGAAAGCGCAGACACAATCCTCTTATCCCTCCATTTCAAAACGACAATGCCATCGCTGGTTTCCCGAGCCGCATTCTCTCCCTTTTTTATTTTATCAGCAATGACATCTGGAGGCAGATGTTTCCGGTTCAATCGAAGAGTGCCCACTAAGTGCGTCTTTCTATGCTGCAACTGGTAAGCCAGAGGTACAGTACAGTACTCTTCCTACGTCTAGTATTCCATTCATTAGTTAGATGACAATACTCTGACCTATGCCAGTCATATATATTACTTTGAAGTTTTCCTGTGCATACCATTAGGTTCCATGTATAACCTTTATCTGAACATAATTTGAATACGTTCATCCCATACGTGTGGCGCTTGTTAGGGATGTATTGTCGGAACAATGAACGTCCTCTCCAGGGCATAAGACTTTCGTCAATACATAATCTCTGTCCTGGAGTATATACTTCTTGAAAATTGTAAATAAATTTATTTATTATTACCCGCAGTTTGAAAAGACGATCATCCTTTGGGGCTTCTGAATTATTTGCATACATTTCAGAAGCAGTTCAAATCTGTTTCGTGGCATTACTTTTCTGGCTAAAGGGATGCCGTATCTTTCCGCCAGTAATCGCAAATACGAGGGTGGGTCAATAAATCCGTGACTTTTGGAATAAAACACAGATTTTTTGATAAATAAATCATTTTATTTTTCAACGTAGTCTCCCTTGAGCTCTATACACTTTTCCAACGCTTCTCCAATTTTTTTATCCCTTCCGAAAATATGATTTGTCGAGGTCCTCAAAATAGGCCTTTGTTTGCGAGATGACTTCATCATTGGAGTCAAATCTTTTTCCACCAAGCCATTTCTTCAGGTTTGGGAACAAGAAGTAGTCACTCGGAGCCAAATGCCTGGAGAATAGGGCGGATGAGGGAGCAATTCATAGCCTAATTCATGGATTTTTGCCATGGCAACTGCACATGTGTGCACCCTTACATTGTCTTGGTGGAAAGGAACTTTTTTCTTGGCCAAATGAGGTCGGTTTTTTTTCAAATTGTCATTGAATCGGTCCAATAAGTTGGCATAATATTCCCCATTGATTGTTCTTCCCTTTTGAAGGTATTCAATGTGGATTATCCCGCGTGCATCCCAAAAAACAGTCGCCATAACTTTATTGGCTGACAAACCCACCTTGGCCTTCTTTGGCGCCGATTCACCCTTAGAAACCCACTGTTTTGACTGTTGTTTGGTCTCTCGTGTGTTGTGATGGATCCATGTTTCGTCCACGGTTACAAAACGGCGCAAAAACTGCTCTATATTGCGATTAAACAACGCCAAACCTTCCTGTGAAGTTGTTACACGATTGCGTTTGTGGTCGACTGTGAGCAAACGCGGTACCCATCTTGCGGAAAGCTTTCTCATGCCCAAGTGATCATTCAAAATTGAAACCACTGAGCCATGCGAGATCCCTACGGCTTCCACAATCTGTTGCACTTTCAATCTTCGGTCGGCCAACACCATATCGTGAATTTTTTTGATTGTTTTGGGTGAAGAGACCTCAACTGGGCGTCCAGGACGTTCGGCATCTTCAGTGCTTGTACGGCCACAACGAAATTCAGTAAACCACTTTTTTACCATTGAAATCGATGGTGCAGAGTCGCCATAGTATTTATCAAGCTTAGCCTTGGTCTCAGTAATGGTTTTTTTTCGCAAAAAATAATGCTTAATAAGCACACGAAATTCACTTTTTTCCATTTTTTCCTCACATTACTGGGTAGTCTGATATAGATAGCTGTCAAATACAAACTAACTGACGCAGCAAGTTCAAATTTTGACAGGAGTCAACTGACAGATGCCTGTTGACAGGAGTAGTGTTGCTTTTTCAGTAAAGAGGTCAGAAATATTAAAAGTCACGGACTTATTGACCCGCCCTCGTAGCAGGAAGCTTCACTAAGCCCATCCATACAATATGCGCTAAAAATCTCATAATTTCTGACTTATGTGTTGGCATCCAAGCATGAATTCTGGAACCAGCAGAAATGTCTTTATCCTTCACGAGTTCCTGTGTTGCATATAAGTTTGTTTCATCTACTATTATTGAAAGTACCGGGTGTCCCGTGGCAGATTTAGGAATTGTTCATTCAATTAAAGAAGGTTATTCTTTTAGAATTTACATATATTTGTCATAAAAAGAAAGACGAGACATGCGGATTTTATTTTTTGAATATCACTCCGTCCAAATGTTTTCCATCGCGACGTACACACTCGCGAAATCTTTCTAGAGTATTCTGAGCGACGCCCTGCAATACTGACCGAGGAATAGCTTTCACTTCTCGCACGATATTTTCTTTTAAATCCGATAGATCCGTCGGGGTGCTGTCGTACACTTTTCCCTTTAAGTAACCCCATAGAAAAAAATCTAATGGGGTGAGATCTGGCGATCTGGGTGGCCATGCGATGTCCCCGAATCGGCTAATCAATTTTCCGGGGAATTCTTCGCGAAGGAGACTCATGGTGGTTCTTGCTGTGTGCGGCGTGGCGCCATCTTGTTGAAACCACGTGTGAGAGCTGTTCGATGGATGTTCTCTTAGTTTCGGAATAAAATATTCGCTAAGCATGCGGCGGTAGACATCACCATCAACAGTTACGGTTACTCCACGAGAATTCTCAAAGAAAAACGGTCCAATTATTCCATTGACAGAAAGAGCTGCCCAAACAGTTATTTTGGGCTATGCAATGCTTGTTGGTGTTTTAATCGCGGGTTTTGTCCTCTTGGCGTCCAATAGCGGCGGTTTTGTTTATTGACAAAACCATTCAAGTGAAAATGATCTTCATCACTAAACCAAATTGTGTTAACAGTACGGAATCGGCTCAACATGTTATCACAGAACTCTTAGCGTTCTCTGTAGTCATTTGGTTTAAGTGCCTGTACCAATTGAATCTTGAAGGGGTGGAATTTAATCTCCAAGCTTAAAATACGGTGCACCGTAGTTTTTGGAAGCCGCAAACTTGACGCTCTCTTGCGCACGGACTGGCGGGGATTTTCTTGCACGCTGTTTGCAACGCGTTCAATGTTTTGTGCAGTCCTCGACGTTCGGCTAGGACCTGGGCGTGGCTCGTTAACTGTTGAACCTGTTGCACGGAAATTCTGGACCCACGTCAAAATCAAAGTTTCACTCGGTGGTTCACTTAAGCGACGAATATTGTAATGAGAACAAAATCTCCGGCGAGCAACAGTGCACGATTTGTTAGCTTCAAAATACGCTTCAACTGCGAAAGCGCGGTGCGCGCCAGTCCACTGCGACATCGTGACTGACCAATCCGCACAAATGCCGCGCCAAACTGTCACCCCTCCCCGGTCCTCCGTGCAACCGTTGCAAAAATATTCGAATTTCAAATACTAAATCTGCCACGGGAGTATGTCGTCGGTAAGAAACAATTCAAAATAATCAAGAGGAGACAAAATTCCTTTATATATGTCTTTCGTGCTACTATAGTCTTACAATATTCCCAGACTATATTTGAAAGATTTTGTCTCACGACATCATGTTCAGAGGTTGAGGATATAGCTCCAGGTACTCGGTAGATTGTATCGTACCTCATTGTCTGGTGGAGGATTCGCAGTTAACCTCGTGATTCTGAATTCAGCAAGGGTCATATCATCTTCTGAAGGATATGCTAATGCGGACATATCGTCCGGTGATTCAGATAAGTCTCCGTCTGAATTCAATTGGGCGTCTGGAGTAAAATCAGGATCCGCTACCGAATCATCACTTGAAAAATCCATACTGAATTAACTATTAGTCTGGTTTAGCACACGTTATTTTTTACACTTGCTATAGTTCACACATTAGATAGTATTTTATATATTATATAGTCTATTGCACTATATTTAGTCTTTTACAATAGTTATGTTTATAAACTTTTATCCATACACACCTTATACTTTCATTCTGAAACAAGAAAAAAAGAGTCAAAAAAACATAATTACTAATTTCTGTTTTTTGATTCTTCTTTTTTTCTTTCAGAATCTTTTTACTCCTTTTCTATCCGAAAAAAGAGAAAAACAAAACGAAAGAAAACAAAAAATAAATGGTGTTTCCAAAAGTATACACACAGCCTCTAAAGAAATTTTTAAGTTAAAACTTTTTCAGGGGCTCCGTGTTTCTTTTTGGCACACATGAAAAATCATGGAAAATCATGAAAGAACAAAATAATTTAACATGATTTTACTATAAGAATAGTATTACAACGAGTTTTAGGACAAAAATTGAAACAACGTTTTTGGGTTTGGCAGTCAACGTGTTAAGAGAAGATTCCATATCCTCCCGCACGTGAGCATATCTGCACATAATATCAACATCTGTGTCTTCCATGTCGGATTTTTCTGGAACAGTATCTTCAATGTAAAGACGATCAATGCTTTTACCCTTATTTAATAAATTCCAATTAAAGTTATTTTAGCCGCTCTTTCTGATGTGAGACGGTTTCTTTTTGTACTGTGTATAAAACCCTGTGTGCTCAATGACCGTTCGGTGGCTGCCGATGTGCAGGTTGCAGTCAATACTTTACAGTAAAATCAGTTAAGTAACTGATTTGAGTCACAAAGTACCTTCCGCTATAAAATGGGGCTTACTTTCTTAGCGGCCTTCCAAGTGAATGGTTTATTCCAAAGACCTTAAGCTTTATATTGAGCCAGGCAGTCAATGTTACAATGCTTAGCGAGGTTACTGATGAATTCCACGGCTTCAGTTTCTTCCACCTGATTCAGTTCGATGCCTGCAGATTGAGGATCAAATATGTAAGCCGCATAATGTATGTTGGTGGAGTTTTTATATGTTTTGTTTTATTTTAGTTTTTTAAATAATTGTAAAGTATAAAAAAGGCAGATGTCACTAGTATTGAGAAAAAAGGAGAACGTTTTTGTGAATGTTAAAAACATGGCGTTTTCTCTTGAATTGTATCACTGCATTTAATTTGATTATCCTAAGTACGATATTATAATTTATGTATTATGAAGACGAAGATTTTTATTTAAAAACTGCATCCTAACTACCATGCGTTCTGCGCGTGATCATTGGTGACCCCGACGTGATCAAAATTTTTATTCAATAAGAAGTAAGCTTTGGACAAGCCAACACAAATTGTGATTGCCGAGAGAACCTGCAACGAGAGCCAGCTTCACATCGACCAAATCAGGGAAGTGACCACTCCTATAACACTTTTATAACCTACTTACCCTGTGCGTCCTTCTCACAACTTGACTTTAGGTTGCCGGCCGGCCATTTCTTTATATATCGCAGTGAACTTAATTTTCATCTCGATCCGATCCCATTTTCCGTTGTTTTGAATTTGTTGTATCAGTCATTTCTGTGTGTTGGGGTTTGCATTAAGTGATGAACAACTAATTTAATTGTTTTATTGTATAATTTAAAAACTGTACAAATTATGTATAATTGCGTCTGTATTGCACACGGTTCGGTAATAGAAGAGAGAGAAATGTCGATTTGACAGCTATATAAAGAGTTACAATAGGGTTGTACCATGTAAATAGTGATGTACTATAATCGGTGCTGTGAGTGTCTCGAACATCATGCGGGGGGCCAATAAACTAGCAAAAACCTGAATACAATGCAAAGGACATATGAATGAACACAGTAACAAAAATATGCACGCCTAGACAAAAACTCATACCAAACATTCTTATCAGGCTTATTACTAAACCTATCGAAAATTAGTAGCTGTTTACAAAATAAGCATTTGAACTAGGTGCAGACAGTCGCGAGACATTTATATATACATTTATATTTTATTATTTATTGCATATAATTGCATTAGACAATTGTTTTAACATTATTGCTAAGCTATTTATAACTATAATTAATAGAATCAGGCGTTACTTTGCGGAAATCCATTATATAAAAGCTTTTACAAAAATTTACTTCGCAAATATCCGCGTTATAAAATAAAATGATGTGTCTTACCTAGTATGAAGAAGCACCTCCCGCCCTCCCTCAATTGCGTGCACTATCCGCGTCACCACTAATCCCAGCACCGCTACTCCCAACACCACTACACTAGGCAAGACACACCACTGACGATAAAACGACACGTGTTTCGCCTCTACACGGGGCATCCTCAGGTGATATAGACTCTACGGTGGCTAACCGCTAAGTGAGCGGCGAGCCAAAACAAGTGCCTTTTATACAAACCGATGATGCAACCGCTCTCTACCTAAGGAGCGAGCGACTGCGTCATGCGATAAAACATGCGACCAATCACCGCTGGACTTACGCAGCCGTTTGTAAAATTAAAAACAAACCGCCGCGCAACGCCCACCCTCCAACCACGCAACCAATCGCCGATCACCGTGAGGGTGACAAACGACCATATTGCGAGGCTCTCTATTATTAGAGAGCAGGCTTGAAGATATTTAAGAGAGGTGAGTTAGTAACATTTGTTTGTTCATTCAGCAATGCAACGGTATTATTATTACTTTTTAATATCTCTAACTGTTCCAGCACACACAGCCGCAGCCCTTTATTACACGTATGTAAGACTTTAAAGGAGTGGTCGTTGGCTAGGTTGTGTCCAGTGTCCAGAAGATGTTTGGCAAAATGGGATTTATCGGGATTGCAATTCCTGTACGCGGCTAAATGCTCTTTATAACGTGTCCCGAAATTGCGACCAGTCTGACCCACGTAAACGGCGTGGCATTCGTCACAAACAAGTTTGTAAACACCTGACTTTTGACG